GTGGACTTGCCGTTCTTGCCCGTGCCCGCCTCTCCCCTCCCTCCCATCCGGGCACCTCCGCTTGGTCAGTGCCTGCGGCTCATTCCTTGGCTGCCCCTCCACCCCCCGCCCGCCCCCACTTTGCCGGCTAAGTCTTCATCTTCCAGATCTGAGCTCAGCCGTCACCTCCTGCAGGGAGCCTTCCTTTCTTGAGCCCCGAGAGGGGCCGCCCCACCCGTGGGCCCCCGGAACACCTGAGCATACCCCCAGGCGGCCAGCCTCCTGGGCGTGGTTCCCCCTCCCACGTGGCCGGGCTAGCCCAGGGCAAGGCTCTCCTTTCGGTCAGAGTACCTGGCACATTGTGAATACTCAGGTACAGCCCGCGACAGTCATCCCACAGAGCACAGTGATTACTGATTTTTCTAACGTGTTCTAGAAGCTTCACGTGACCACGCGCTCAGGCTTCGTGACACTAGATTATTTTTAAACAGAGCTTTTGTTGGCAAACCCCCCTCGATACAGTTCCACACCCGCCCTGACGGGAGCCAATTCCGACTCCCCCAGGACAGGGTTTCACCATCCACCACCACGTGGTGCCACAACTGCCTCCCACGCTCCGGGAAACCAGAGGGAACGTGGCAGCTGTGACCCGTCAACCGCGCGTCCCCTGGGCCTGCGGCCCAGCCGCAGAGCAGACCCTGAGCACAGCCCGCGACTGTCTGCAGCCCTTCCACGCCCCAGCCCCGCTCCCGCAGCTCTTGGTCTGCCGGAGGGAAGACAACCAGAAGAGCTTCTCGAGGGAGCAGCGGCTTGGGGCCGTCCAGGGCCAGGCTTGGAGTGGTGCGGGCGCGTGCGGGGCGTGCGGCCCAAGCAGGCTCGCCGAGAGCTTTCGGACTGGCTTCAGGCCCTGGCTGGGAAGCTCAGCTGGGCAGAGCATCGTCCCAATAGGTCAGGATCGTGGGTTCAATCCCCAGGCAGGGCACATGCAAGACTCAACCGATGAATTCATGAATAAGTGGAACAGCAAATCGGCGTTTCTCTCCCTTCCTCTCTCTAAAATGAATAAATAACCTTTGAAAAGAAATGGCTTCCGAGAAGCAGGGAGCTGGAAGCCACCTGTAGTCTGTTCCGTCCCGAAGCCCTTCACCTGGAGCAGGTGAGATCCAGTAATGAGGGCGCCGGCTCCGTTCCTGCCTGAGGGTCCCCAGCCTCCCCTCGGTGACTGCAGCTCACCAGGCTGTGCCCGCCCGGGAGCACACCGCGACTGTGGTTCTCAACCAGGGGGTGCCCGAGCTACTTATTTTGCAGAAAAAACATTGAAACCCAAAGACTGTCGCTGATTTACCCAACGTCACACACATAGTGACGGACCTGTGCCTCGAACTAGGTTGTCCCGTGACACCCAATACAGGTGGTCCCACTGACGTCCCCTTCATAACAAAAGGGCATGACCACACGTCCTCGTTCCAGCCTGATGAAGTTAAAAAACCTCTACATTTGTCTTTCTGGAGTTAATTGAACTGTAATCTTCCTATCGCCTGCCTCTGAAACCACCTGGCCTGCAGGGCTACTGTCTGGGCCCAGGAACCTGCATTTTGACAGTTTTCTACACTCGTGCTTGAGAGTCACGAGTGGAGGGTGACCTCCTTCCCTCCTGAGTGTTGATCTTCGAGGTTGCCAAGGCATTTCTTTTCTGAACTACATTTTCAACTTTTCCAGGAAAAGCAATTTGAACTCAAATTGCTTTGGCTTGGTCTCTGTCCAGAAGGGACTTTTTTTCTTCCAGTAAGTGGTTTAATATAGGTTTGTTTGTTTTTTTAATCTGCTTTAAAAATATTTCTGTCTGATATAGGAACTTGATGGAGATAGCTTCATTTTTTTAAGTGTTTAGGAGGTATTTTCAGTCATTTCAATGAGATGAAATCACTTTAAAAGAGGGCTTTGTGTGTGTGCATTCATGTGTGTGTGGGTGCATGCGTGGGTGGGCACGTGTGTGCGTGCACTCGCACGTGTTCGCGTGCACGTGTGCACGTGTGTGTGTTTTTTCACGTTACTGATGGGGAAAAAAGATCGTACACCCTTAGGGACTTGGCCACAATTATCATCCTTAATTAGCGTTCAGCTGAGGTGACAGGCTCACAAACGGGGGGAAATGGGAGAAACCGTGTAACTTGAAGGCTGAATGAGAATCACTGGGGACCCAATAAGAGAAACCGGAGCTGCTGCCTTGCGCCGACCTCCTCGGGCAGGACAACCGCAGGTGGTCAGAAAACCATGATGTTCTTTGCCTCTTGGGTCCACCCTGAAGTTCAGCAAGTAGGGATCCCGCTGGGGCGGAGACCACCCACGGCTCCCCTGTCTGAAGGCGGAGTCTCCTGACTCCTGGCCAGGGGAACACATGAGGGTTTTAATCACCAAGGACACTGGTATTTACCCCCCGATTCCTGCTGCCTTCGAACCTCTCAGCACAGGCCGCCCCTGCGGGAAGACGCTCTGATCACACTCCTGCCTCAGGTTTATCTCGTTTCCCAGGGAAATTGAGTCACCGGCTGGACGGTCATTGTTTCGAGCCTGTGTTCCTCAGAAGACCGTGAACTTGACAGTTTTAACTTCCTGCCTGTAGGCCCTCAGCACCCTCCCAGACTTTGTTGGGTGAGTATCAATCCACCATCCACCTTCCAATCTCCGTGGGTCCGCACACGCTGTTGGATTCCTCTCTCGCTGTGCCCATTCCTCGTAGGCCAGCACCCCCCCCCCCCCC